ACTAAACCTATACTAATATTCATTAGGCTTCACTTATGTACTAATGGTAACGACAAGAGCAAAAGAAAAAAAACTGAAAAAAATAATAAATTTTTGTATTAATAAAATTAATTAATTATAAAAATAGCTTAAGTAGGCTATACAAATCACTGTTATTTTATCTAACAAAATTGTATTCTTTGTGACTAGTATATTAATTTATAAGAAATATTTTTGAAATAATAAACAAATAAATCTGTACACTAGCAAGTCAAACCTACTTGAAACAGTAAAAAAAAGTTTTTCTTTATTTTTATAACCTGTACCCAAAGGGTGAAAGGCTATACATACTAATTTTGTGCGAATGTATGTAACACACAGAAGGAGGTGTGAAAGACCTCATAAAGTATCAGGGGTTTCACAGAAATCTCTTCCGCACAAGTTTCGCCTCAATACCAATTCTCGGTGCCGCTTTTGGGATGTTTTAAATCTTGTTTGCCTTGCTAGGATGGATTACAAATACTAACAAAGATATTTTTCCAAATAAAAACAAGAAAGGAGTGCTGTCTTAAAGTCTTAGAGTCTTAAATACCCTGTACCTCCCACCATAAAATAAACTAGTATAGCCTTTCACCCTTTGGGTGCAGGCTATAAAAATGGAACGAAAAATTTTGTAATGTAATGAATCAGAATAAAAAAAACAAACTGCCTCAGGCTCAGGGGAACCTGGATACCAAGTTTGGTTTTTCTAGCTCTTGTACTTCCTGAGATACTTGTGCTCGTCCAGACTGATGGACGGACAGACGGACATGGCTATATCGACTCGACTTGTAAGCCTGATCAATATGAACACCTGGATCTCAAAGACTATAAGAGCTAGAGACATCAAATTTTGCACAAAGATCCCATATGTGTGTACGCTATACGATTTTGTTTTATTTTTTGATTTTTCCCCACTTCCCCCTATGGGGGATTTTCGGAAACGCCGTTCGTATAATCACCTATATCTCGGACATGTTATAGCCATAAATATATTTGCTGCCCGCAGCTGTTGTTGATGCTGGTGCTTTGGTTGACTGCAAATATGCTCACACAGACACGAATAGACATTGAGTGAGTATATCTCACATAGACGCAATTGCTTTGTAAATGTGCAATTATACAGCCTTTAGGTGAGTTCGAATACCGAGAGAGGTAAAATCGATCAAAATTTGTATTATTAATTTTTTTATATTTCTTTAATTATTCTAATCATATATACAGAGAATTTCAAAGTCGGGACACCCGACTTTAGCTATTTTACTTGTTTTAGTTCTGCAATTATTCTACACATACTTGTATATATACAGAGTAGTAGTATTTTAAAGCCGGGACACCTGGCCTTAGCTTCTACAGTTATTTCTTATACAAATTTATCCGTTCATTTTGACGTTCGCAGCTGGTCGAAAGGTGCCCGATATAATTGCAGTTGGGCATCGATGCTTCCCGGAACCCGCTGTGACGCTCGTCGTTGTAGCGTTGTATTGACACCAGGGCTCGTAAAATGCGAGCAAAACTTATTCGGACACACGAGAAATTTTGCCGCGGGACGCAGTGAGTCGCTGCCGACTGAAGCAGAGCGTCGTACGAGCCGCGCCGAGCGGTCGTTCCTGGCAAGGCATAACTACATACATATTTTTGATGTGTGTAAGTTATGCTATTCAATCATTATGTTGCACTTCATATTTAATTAATATGTTTATTTAATATGTTGGGATAGCTAAAAGCTTTCCAATAGCTGGCCTTGTGGCGAAACAATAAAACAAACGGTATATTTTGCGGCAATGCCGGAGCAATGTATTGTTCAAGTAGTATACTTTCTTTACGCTAATACAGAAGTGAATTCAAGAATACAAATTTGGTGCAGCTTAAGCTAAAGACAAAAGTCATGACTTTACTACCTATTTATTTCCATACCAACCTACACAACCTACAAACAATACGTATAGTTCTTTAGAATAGGTTAAAATATATTGGTAACAAGTTTATTTATTTGCAAATGATCTACAAGTATGTGCATATGCCTGCCTGCCACGAACGAACGATCGGCTTTTGCAGACCGGCTCGTACGACACTCTGCTGTCGGCAGCGACCCACATTACCCACGGGCTCTGCCGGCAGTGACCCACTAAAACCCTCTGCAGAATTTCTTATGGGTAGCAGCGGGTAGTTAGCACATTTTACGAACATTTTACTAGTTACTAAATATTTAGATCTATATCAATATACCTTAACAATACAGATCATACAATTTTATCTAAATAAATTCAATTTAATTTTATTCTTATTTGTTATATTTATTAAGCTATAATACAATATTTAAAAGTTACATAAGTTACATAATATTTTTATATTTTTTATTGTTATTACTTTTTTACTGTTATTACTTGTACATACATATGTGTTTATTTTCATTTAGTTGTTCTCTCGAAAGTTTGCTTGAATACTAATTCAAAATGCGTTTCACTACTGATTATTTTTAAGTTATGGGGTAACTCGTTCCACAGACGAATAGCGAATATGAAAAAGTGCCTTTCTGCCCAGGATAATCTATGCCTACGTACGTGTGAGTCTCGCAATGCGACACAAAAAATGGAAGGTCATTAACATATATAGAAAATAACAGAGGCCGTGACACTGATCCATGTGGGACACCACGTTTTATGAACATAAAAGACGAGAAACTGTACGAGGTGACAACTATATAGATATTAATATATATCGACATTTTCGGTCATACTCGAGTATTTACCAAAACTCGGTATGATTATTTCTGCTTATTCGCACACGTGCGGTAGTGCGAATCGGCAGGACGATTGTGGTCCTGACGAGTTAAGCTAAAGGACGCTTATTGTCCTTCTGTTGATCAAGGCGGGATCCTAGTGGTCCGGCTTGATGTTTGGATGGACACTCGTGGTCCGTTTAATTAAAGGCACTTGTGGCCCTGCTGCTTCAAGGGACCCTCGTGGCCCAGTAGGTGCGAGTAACACCGGTTGTCCTGGTTGCGCTTGAGTGAAACGACGCAGGACGTTTGTAGTGACCAAGGATACCGGATGCAATCCTTGGGAGCATGTAGTCAACGTGGTAGTCGGCGTGATAAAGATCAGCTGTTCCTGACCCAAAATAACAGGCCGTTCGTTGATAATTTGCATACTGATTTTATTCTTACAAATCATGGCTTATATAGCCATACTACTAGCTTATGACTATTTATATTTATTATTTCTATGTGTTGGCGGTTTCACAATAATGATGCCCAAGCATATATTATGAGGTTAAGTATGCTGGTGTCAGCCCAATTTGGTTCATAAACTATGACTTGATTGTTGGTCTTATGCTGAGGTAGCAGAATAATATGTGTCTTATTCTTGCTTATTATTGCTTATGTTGGCTAGCCAGTGTCAATGCACCTGTAATTCATGTGCGCGTGCAGACTATGGTGCCAATATTATCTATGCTAAAACTATATGGGTGTACAGGTTTATGTGTACTTATATGTATAACATCGCGTTGATGAGATGTCATATACTCATTCGCGTCGCAACAATTTCATTTGGGTATAGTGACAAGCATTGATTGTGAACGAGCCCTCAACGAACACTCAGTTCGAATCAAAACTGCAAAAACTCAGAAGTGAGCGGTTGTGTCCGAAACTTTTTGCATGAATGCAAGCAATGACCGATTGTGAACGAACGCTCACAAGCAATGATCGAACGTCGTATTTACAATCATGCCCGCATGACCGAAATATTCGGTAGAGTTTGGGTAATTCTCGAGTCATGGCAACCGAGCAATGATATCGGCGCGTGCACGTGCACTTACATTTTCTATTGTTTTTTCGGCTATTTGTTCAATAGCAACTTCATATACAAGTATGTACTATATGCATATAAATTAAAGAAACCAACAAAACTATTAGCTAAAAGAAATACCTTCCTTTTTATTTAAATTAAAATTAGTTATGCTATTTTAATTTATATTAATTTTTTTATTTTAAGATATTTCAGTACCTTTTTTAAGAAATAAAATCATGCTGAATCATAATATAAAAATAAATACGTGTATACATATGTTTTGTTTTCATTCTGTACCTCATTATTTAAAATACATATACATACATACATATACACATGTTTGCGCATAATTGCAAACAACACATACATGCACAAATACATAAATATGTACATACATGCATTTTTTATACGGTCATACTCGTGTAAAACCAGCGCAATACTCGCGACATACTCGGGTAAAACAATACTCGAGTAATACCCGAGTATAGCTCGCGCAATACCCAAACAATACTCGAGCAATAACGGTACTATACTCGTTCGATCAAACGCTCATTCTGCAAAGTCTGGTTTGTTTCGATCAGGACCCAGTCATCTTAAACGAAGTGACCAAGCCTGAACTGTTTGAAAGCAAAATTATCAACTTAAGTCCGGTTGCTTGTTCGTAAAAATAGAACGATGGCTCATGCAAGTTCGATCATAAGAAAAATGCTGAGAGTAGTCAACTCGTTCGAGCTCCTTTGCAGCCAAGAAATGATCTGATTTGATTGAATTTTCAGCAGGGGTGGTCGAACATACTCGTTGCAGTTCTCTGGTGTGTATGTGTGTAATAAGTTTGACACTTTTATGTTTTCAGGACAGTTTTATCACATGCGTACGGTTAGCCTATGCACACACGACTGACTGTCGATGCGCTTACAAAAAGATCTTAGCCTAAGAGCAGTGCTGCCCTAATTTTCTGAGCAAAAGTAGCTAGGTTGTCAAAAAATTAAACTTAAAAAAAGCAAAATCCAAGGCAAATTAAGCTAAAAAAAAAGCTGGTTTTAAAAACAATTTTTTCTTGATTAAATTTAAGGAAATATCTGTATGTTAATGTTTTCATATTAATTCTATACATATTCTTATTTTATAGCTTATAATAAAACATGAGATTCTTGTGATGTATAAAAATTATAGAAGATTCACAATAAATTAAAATTGAAAATGTTCAATTCTATATTCTATCTATAATTCTCTTCTATAACTCGATCAGTTCATTTAAGCTCACTGCCTCTTGGTCAGGGTAATAAATTTGGTTGCCTACTGCTCGCAACCATTTTTGAGGCAATGAATACTCAAAACAGCATTTGTTTTTGCGATTTAGCCCGTATCTTTAATTGAAAATAAATTAATATATTTTTGACAATATTTTATTTTGTTTATAAAAATCCTCACCTTTCGCTTAAAATGGAGTTAAGCGTATTTAAATTCATTCCATTCCTTAATTTTGGTTTTACCAAGTTTACCTGGTAAATCAAACTAAATTTAGCGTTTCCAACGTCGTTTCTGAGGTCCTCACGAAAATGAGGAGCCAATACATTTTTAATAATGTATGTACATTTAGTGCGATGCAAAATTTTGTTTTGCAAAGGGTGCCTAGATGGTCGATGGGAGCAATTGCAGTGTGCTTTGTTGTTGTGCAACATCTTGCTCAATCGTTTTTGTTGGCGTTTGCCCAAAATCAATTTTTTCTTTTTGTGCAAAGCCACTTAGTGCACCCTTATGTTTTTTGGTTGCCGCGTGGGCACGCAGGTCGCAAAGCTTTGCAATTAACCCGCACTTGCAGTAGCTGCAGTAAGCCCTTGTGGAATCCGCAATATCTTTGCGGAGCCACTCTTTAAACTCGGCGCTCTGCAGCCACACCTCGCAAACATTTTGTACAATTTAGACATTTCTTAATTCAATGAAGACAAATTTACACACAAACAGTTGATAATCGAGCATCAAGATGATTTTGATCGAGTTTATTATCAGAAGTCGCTTATCGCTACTTATATTCATGATTTTCAGTGTTGACAAAGATAAAGGGACAAAATATATGGTGAAAAATAAAATAAAGCTAGAAAAAGGCTAAATACTTTTTTTAAAGATAGAATTCCCGCAACTGTAATTTTTGAATTTTTCCCGCACTGGCATTAAAAATAAAGCCAGATCTAGCGGGAAACAAGCTAAAATGGCAGCACTGCCTAAGAGAGAGTTGAGCAGTGTGTACACGCTGGCTATAATATTAAAATGTAACCACCGATTATATGAGAGACCTACATGGTCTTTTTTGCTACAGTATTTACTAGTTTCATGCCAAAAGAGATCATATCATCTTTTAGGTGATGCTCAATTAACATATTGCTGTTAAAGTCACCAGCCAGGACAATATTGTAGAGTCTCATATGTACATGCAAATAAACATTGTCAATTCCTTTTAAATTGAATATTTTCGTTTTCTCCTATTTTCGCAATTATTTCGGTAATAATTTTCACATATTTTCAATCATAAAAAAGCAACATATTGTAATGCAAATTGGTAGTGTAAAGCTGAGTTGAACGGCGCAATTATTTTGTTTGGCGCTGCTGTTAATTCTTTCGAAGTGGGCCCTTCTCTGCCAAGCGTCGATGCGCGCCTGAGCGCCTCCGCGATCCAGATTTGTTGCTGCAGCCACTTCGCCAGCCACCACGCTGCCGGTCCGATTAATTTAACTGATCGGTGAGAGCCCTGGCATTTGGAAATCGCAGGAAACTTTTTGCCAAATTCGCTTATCATGAAAGTGGTTTTATTTGTTTAAAAATAAAAGTATAAGTATGGAAAGCAAAGATCATTGTATGTAGAATCAATTTCTAAGCCATATCGTGACGTCATTGTATGTGTGTTCGTGTTATCCAGTATTTTGTGTGTGTCTATTTAGCAGGAATGTATAACAAAAGTAATTGTGTTTTGTGGAGTATTACTTTCGCAGAGCGCTTCAGAGCGTGGAGCTAACAGTATCAATGTCTTAACAAAAGTACACAGATTCATAATTATTAAGCCTTCTTTGCCCGTCTTCGAAAAAATCGCTTTCATTGCAGCAAAACTCGTGTTTGGGCACGTAGAATTTATTGACATTTAGAGCACCAACATAGACTTAGAAAACGCATTTAAGCAGTATATATTGCAGAAAATTAAAGTAAAAGTCGTACAAGAACAAAATACTATGTTGATATAGGAAAATGTAAAAGCCTCCGCTAATTATATTAAAAAGCACAAACGCTCGGTTTGTAATGAAACTCTATTGATGGTCATTTTGAGTCTTGATTGAAAACACTCCAGTCGAGCAATCCCGACAGTGAAATACCCTGTACCCAGACAAACTTCCGGCACTAAGTTAAATGCGTCGCTAGCAGAAGCAAAAGGATGAAGAAGAGCGAACTTGATGCTGCAGTTTGTAGGTATAGTATTGGACTGAAATTTTTTCGCTAATAACTTTTTCATAAATTTATTTATTAATGATCGATTTCAATGAAATTTGAAACAAATCTACATAGGTGAATCCGTGTAAAGTTTTGTTTATGTAGCTTTGAAATGTGCACAGTATAGACGAATTTCTGTAGCGTGATGAAAGAGCGGGGCGGGGAAATCTGGATATGTATATACTTTGAATATTATATTTGTATTACTATTATAATTAAAAACAAATAAAAAAAAAACTAAAGTCGGGTGTCAGGACTTTGAAATACTCTGTACATATGATTAGAATAATTATACAAATTTAAAAAATTAAGAAAATTAAAAACAAATTTTGATCAATTTTACCTCTCTCGGTATTCGAACTCACGTAAAGGGTGTATAATCGTGCTTGATCGTGTTGACTCAATAAGGCACGAAAAGACACAAATGTGAATTTAAAATAGGACTCAAGTATCCTTTCATAGTATACATCATAGTGTAGGTCAAGAACAGAAAATGTTCATTTAAATACCTTAAATGCCTTCCTACTCGTAACTAATAAGGTGAAAACATATGGGTAGGTCATGCGCACACAAAATAAATACATACAATTTTAAACATTATATTGAGTCGGGTTAAGATGGGCAATACCTGCTAGTTTTTAACATAGTATGTGGCCACATCCCCCGCATGCAACTCACGGTCAGATAAACATTATAGCCATCACAACATACAGATTGATCACTAAGACTAGAAACAAACCACGTTTCAGACACGCTAACTACATCTACAAGGTGCGTTCGAAAGTAAACAGGACTTTTGGTTTATCCAATATAAGCCAAGAATTAGTTAATTAAACTAGTTATTAAATCAATTAATATGTATTTTATTGTAACAATGGTAAATCTAAACAATCGTTGATAATCGTCATCGTTTTTCCACCAGAGGGCTGCCAGATCTGCCACAGTACTCCCCCCCAAGTGACCATGTCACGATTTCCTAGGAAGGACTCGGCGATTTCTTTCATAGGTTTGAAGAGGCCAATTTGTCGTTCGCATAGCCTCCTCCTCCAGTGCTTTATTGTCTCTAACCAAAAAGGCTGGTTTTAACCGGTCGACGGAAACGGCTACATCCTTGCCATCTACTCTTACCAGAAAAACACGATCGCTTACACGGTCTGTAATTTCGTACGGACCAGTATATGGGACTTCCAGAGGTTCCTTGACTGCATCTGTTCTTATAAAATCGTGCGAACAATCCTCCATACCTTTTAAACGAAACATCTTCTGCTTCATATGATGTGCAGTTGGAGTGGGGCGTATCTGACGTACGTGTGTTCGGAATTTTGTGATAAATGCTTGCGGAGTGTCGATATCATAAAAAAATTCGTTGGGATGACGTAGATTGGTACCATACAACATTTCTGCTGCTGAGGATTGCAAATCTTCCTTAAAACAACTGCGTAACCCCAAAAGCACGGTTGGCAAGAGTTCAGTCCAAGGAGTAGCAACATTGCACTTAAGGGCTGCCTTAAAGGATCTGTGTCATCGCTCTATGAGACCAATGGATTGGGGATGGTACGCTGTTGTATGAATATGCTGAGCTCCAACAAAAGCGGCGAGATTCTTGAACAGAGCTGATTCAAACTGTGAGCCCTGATCAGTTGTGATAGTTTTTGGAGTACCCAAACGAGCAATCCAATTTCGCCAGAAGGCGTCTGCAACTGTTTCAGCAGTCATATCACATAATGGTATTGCTTCTGGCCAACGGGAGAAACGATCTATCATTGTTAAATAGTATCGATACCCATTATGCAGCGGCATCACAACAATATCCAAATGGACGTGATCAAATCTGTTATCTGGAACCGGAATCTTCTGCGGCGTGAGTTTGTTGTGTTTATATATCTTGGACCTTTGACATGACAGACAGCTCCTGCACCATTGAACAATGTCCTTATACATAGATGGCCAAACGTATTTTTTACGGATTTGTTTTAGTGTAGCTCTGCCACTTGGATGTGACAAGCCGTGGATTGATGCAAAAATTTTGTGCCGAAGGCTTTCTGGAATGTATACGCGCAAAATTCTAAAAGACGTATCGCAGTAAAGAGCGATATCGTTTTCGAGATTTTGGGACTGAAGATTGAGTGATGTTCCACCTTCAAGCAATTCTTGTAATTCCGTGTCTGTCGCCTGGGCTTTTTCTATGTCGTCCAAACTTATGGCACTTGGCATTGTTATTTCGCACAATCTTGAAAATGCGTCTGCTACACAATTCTCTCTGCCTTTAACATATACAATTGTTGTTGAAAACTGCGATATGTAATTAAGGTATCTGCCTAGGCGATGCCTTTTCCAGACGTTGACTGAAGGCATAAATGAGCGGCTTATGATCGGTTTTAATAACGAAAATGCGAGCTTCCAATAAATGCTTAAAGTGCTTAACCGCTTCGTAAATAGCAAAAAGCTCGCGGTCGTAAGTGCTGTAATTTTTTTCGGCATTTTTTAATTTTTTAGAGAAAAATCCCAAAGGTTCCCAAAAACCATTCCCCTTCTGCTCAAGAGCTGCACCAATCGCAACATCCGAGGCGTCGCATACCATTGAAAGCTCGGCATTGGGGAAAGGAAACGATAACATAGTTGCGGCCATAATACTGCGTTTACATTCCTCAAAAGCCTGACACAAGTCCGGCGACCAGTCTATTTTGCGCTTGTCGTTCTTTTTAATATCTCTTGTTAGCTCCGTCAGCGGTGCTTGTATGTGAGAGCAGTTTGGCAAACAACGCCTGTAATAATTTACAATTCCCAGAAAACGTCCAAGTTCGCTTATTGTTGACGGTTGTGTGTAATTTGTAATGGCATCTATGCGATCTGTGGGTGGCTTTATGCCCTCTTTTTTAATCACATAGCTCAAAAAACGAACTTCTTCTTGAGTAATTTGACACTTGCTAGTATTGATGCACAACCTATGTTGGCTTAAAATGTTAAAAACAATACGTAGATGCTTTTCATGCTCGTCTGCACTTGTAGATGTTATTAGAATGTCATCAATATAACAGAATACAAAATCAAGACCTCGAAATATATTGTCCATAAATCTCTGGAACGTTTGAGTTGCATTTTTTAGCCCAAAAGGCATGAAAATAAATTCGATGAGTCCAAATGGTGTAGAAATTGCTGTCTTTTTCACATCACATTCAGCCATAGGTATCTGATAATACGCCTTGACCAAGTCCAATGTCGTAAAAATTGTTTTCCCAAATAGCTGTTCTGCAAAATCATGTATATGAGCAATTGGATATCGATCTGGTACCGTAATTGCATTAAGCTTTCGGTAGTCTCCACACGCTCGCCATGTGCCATCTTTCTTAGTCACCAAATGTAAGGGGCTTGCCCATGAGCTTCTCGATAGCCGACAACCTCAGCCTTAGCTGCTGCCAATTT